CCATGTGTTTGATTTTTACAATATAGCAGCGTAGATAATAATGGCAGCAAAAATGAGGAAAGATAAACATGCATTTTTGTGTTTAATATGAAGATATTGAAAAAAAGCTTGTTAGCGCAGCCCCTTTGGGGCTAAAATATGGAACTCACATATATCCCTTCGGCTTACTAAAATAATTCAACATAGTTCATCTGAAAAATCTACCCTGATTTCCAAAACCTATAATTAGGTCATTGCCTATTTGCTTATGTCTGCAATCGAGTATTAATTATTAGCTGGTATATTTAACAATGGCAGATACTAATTACTATGGTCTGTNCTCAACTCAATAACATCTTATTATGGGTTTTCAATCCATTGAAATCGATTATTCTGATTTAAATCTGATTTTGTGAAACCCGACCTAAAAGGAGTGTTGAAGTGTTAAGGGTAGAAATTTGACTCCCCCCCCCCCCCCCCCCCCCCCCCCCCCCCCCCCCCCCCCCCCCCCCCCCCCCCCCCCCCCCCCCCCCCCCGCCGCAAAAATCTCGCTTATAAACTTACACTCACCATTTTCTTCGAAAATATATGTGAGTTCCACAAAATTCGTTTTTTCTCAGAGTTTAATGAATTTGTATAAAATTGGTCCGAAAATTCGGTGGGCCGAAATTCATGTAACCCAGCCATGGCACCGTATGCAATAATGAATAATACACGTTTGTCGATTACTTCTGACAACAGTGCAAAAACAACTGATCCGATGGGAAAGCCGAGTACAGAAAGTGAGACACCAACTTGTATGATGATTCCGTGAGCGTCACCGATTTTTAACAGAGAAGATAAATGAATTTCCTTTCAAGAATGCGGCTGCTTACATAGCCTGATGAACAGAAAAACACTCCTAGTGAGCATATGACAGCCAATAAAATCACCACCCATGTATAGGCTGATGGGGAGATAATATTACCATTAACTGAGAAGATTTATGCATACACTGAAAAAGAGTGTTTTGGACTGTAGGTATGTTGATGCAAATTTGGTATCTGTATGGTTCGTTTAGGAAGAATTTTGTATTTTTATTTGTTTGTTGGTAGTTCGGTTATCGGGTAGAGTTGGTTTCAATAGGATATTCATACAGGATTAGGTCGTTCAACTTCGGTTCAACTGCACAAAGTTGAGGTGTGCTCACGATGAAATTGTTTGATTTACTTTTTTCTTATTTTCTTATTTAGCATTTCTTTAGCCATCAGGCAATAAAGATCTTCCAGATAAACCAAGCAGATTTTCTTATGCATTAGAATATCAGGAAGTCAACAAAGCAATATACACCTCTAATACTCTTCCCGGTTCTTGCAAAGCGACAAAATCTTGCCCCGTTTCGGGATCTGCTGACCATTTCATAATGATGAGAATAGTTTTTTTGAGAAGATCATTTGATGTTGTCTAAGTAATTTCTTTTTTTTCTAGCTTATCTGTTTTTTTAATGTTTTGATGGAGACAAACAAATAGCAAGACTGTTTCTTTGCTTACCTTTTATCATCTGCAACCCAGAAAGAAAAAATCGATTGTTATCTTATTTTTATCGTTGATGACGTTACGAGAAGGTATTAATTATCTTAGTCAGTGTTACAAAACAATACCTTGCTGATGACGGTAAGTAATGTCCTTTGATGCTCTTCTCAAAAAGAAACTTAATTTATCGAGATTAGTAACAGTAGTGGAGCCAGGATTTTAAGCTAGATGGTTTGAGCATCCAAAATGATTTTCTTTCTATTCAACGGGAAATCTGAAGCAGAGATCACTGTATCAGAATAACAGAACTTTAGTTCCATAATGATTCTCAATTTACGAATCCTTGCAGTTATTATTAAATTTTTTTTCTGTGGAAAACAACAATATGAGCACAACGATCCCGTTAAATACGATTTAAAAAAATAATAGTTGTAATACTTTTCTGATTGAGAATTTGCATATTCTCATTATTTACTCAAGATCTTTTCTTCTTTTCATTGATTTGAATTAAACCTTTTTCGCAAAAGATTCACCATTCAGTTCTATACAAAACGACTAAGTACTAAAATGAAGGGAAAAGTTTCGAAAATCTTCAATTTTCTAGCAAAAATCCGCTTTTTCTAAAATTTCCTTTCCGTGTGGAGATCTACGAAAGTTCATGCCATGCAGTAACAAAGGGTTACTATTTTGACGAACTTCGCAACTTAGCCGTCATATGAACCACAATAGTCCGACTAACGTTTGCATGCCGCATAGATCGAATTTCTATAGACAAGTTTACAAGTTGTGAGTCAGCTAATTTTTGACGTTGGGCATTGAATATCCTCGTTCAGACACGATCGATTATTCGACTATTTTCATACTTACTTTTCTCCTTCATCAGTGATATTTGCAATAGGAAACAACGTTCATCGCCATCAGATCAATTTACAAAGTGGACATATTGAATGAGCATTGTCATCTCAGAAGATTAATTGATGCTTTTTATAGTATAAAACTATAGTACCGAAGTCATGAGAAAACAGAATGCCATGAAAATCTTCGAAAAATCTCACCAGAAAAGTAATATAATCGACTAGGTTTATCCACACCGATGTTGACATTTAGGAATACCCTTTAGAAAACATGATCTGTGATGATGATTTCACTCATATTATAGCTTATCCACGTTGTTACACGTGACAATGCTTGATATGGAACAATCAGCCGTGATCGATCTCGACCCGTTCAATGGTCGTCGATGATAACAAGCATTTCTGACGATGGCTGTGACATTCGTAGGCAGCAAGGTAAAATGGTCACATATCTATCTCTCAAGGATTAAGAGAGAGAACCTTTGATCAAACCATTCACTGATTTCAAACGAATTAAATCATCAACGTCGGTATTGATGATACAGGTGAAAAATCATTTATTTTTTCTGTTTGATGTATTTATTTTCTCTTTTTAGTACATGAAGAAGTCCTTGATGATCTTGGCAATATCGACCGACGGCAATAATCGTATGTCATCTACTGAACTGTTCGATACTCCTTTCATTATGTAATAAAATATATTCAAGCAGTGATCTTCCCAAAATAGACACTCAAGTTTTGACAGAAGTTTATATTGAATTCAAATATGAGACAGTAAATGTTTTTTGTAGCCTACGTGAACAAATTGACCCACTGTACAACAGTCTTGAGTGTACAGGTAGCTTTCCAGTAAACTATTGGTCGTTGCCTACATTCAGACAAAGTCAAGTATTCACCATACATATTCGACAAGCAAGAATTGCGCGGTGATGTTTTCGATTAGAGTGTTTTTTTGTTGTCGAGTTGAGCATGAATCTGATCGATTGTTCTTTTGTGTTTGGCATGATACGTTGTTCTGCTGTTTACCTTTCTACTCGCTTGAAATATGGTGTTTCTTTCTTTTATTCTGTCGCTTTTCAGTTGTAAACGGATTCTGATTTGACCCATACGAATTGAATCGATGAATGAAAACTTTCTTTTATAGATTCGATTATCTCGTAACTCTGAGATTAATCTTTTTGTCTTACTTTCGATTTCAAATAATCCTAGTCAGTCAGCTTTCATATATGGCTACGGCCAATCAAACTTCGAACGAAACTATCGGTAAGAAGCGTGCACAATCTTAATATGTCTCTCAACGAAACTACAAAATGTCAACACAACCTTCGATGATGATTACGCATATAACAATCACGAGAACGAAGACATCAGTAAAGAATTTCTGTTTTAAATATATGATGATGATGATGATGTCTTTATGTTGTAGACATTTACCGAACGTATTAGAGCAGAGTTCATGCACGACCTGTTGAAAATCGTCGTTCGTTGATGCCGCCGATGTGATCCACTGATAAAAGTTTTCTGTTCGTTGTGGTCACGAGATAAGGAAATCGATCTAGTTAAGGGAAAGTCTGAACGCAATCATGGAAACACGTGGAATCGAGTAAAGAGAGAATCCCATTTAGTTAGAAGAATGATGACCATAAGTCACACAAAGTTCGAATCGTATTAATTCTAGGAAAATGTAGAGTTCGCTAGAATATCTAGCATTGATCTAAGTTAATGCAGAGTGAAAGTGCCATTTCTCATTTTGGAAGATTAGTGTAAGAGCATCGAGGCAAAACGAAATTTTATAAATGAGATGTAATATCGAACAAATTGTTTTAAAAAACGACCATGAAATGTGGTTGCATTGTAAAGTAGGTCACTGAAATAGGTTGATCGAGTGAGATTTTCTAGAAAACCTTTTTTGAAACTTAGCAAAATCATAGAATTAGTTTACGTACTGTAAATCTTCATATAAATCAGGAACGATTTTATCTGGTCAAAAGTCGCATTGATCATTCAATGATTTCAGGTTCTATACTGTTGTCTCTCATATTATATGATGTCTAGCTCTTTCTGATCTGTTAATAAGGAATATGACATTATAATTAAGAAATTATATTTGGCCTTGTTGTTGACATATAGTATGAACGAAGAAATGTTGATTATATTGACGAAGTTCCCAGTATTACATCATTATCTTTATGAAACAAGGCTCAGAATTAAATTTAAAATAGAGAAAATAGGTCAGTGATTCAAGCTCTGCAAATCCCGAAAATTTCATTGAAATTTAACACACTCGCTTCTATGATGGTACAAACATTGCTGAATCTTCCACCCGCGACAGTTTCTTCGTACAATTTCTCGTTTGTGGGCGATAAAATTATCAGCAAACCACTTGAGTAGATAGTTTGGAGGTTAGTGTTGACATGCATTTCTCGAATTAAATGTAACAGTGGTAGTACAAACTGAATACAGATTCCTAATTTCTCATGGAGTCTCATGAGAGCTGCGCTGATGTAGCGTTTACGTGGCATAATCGATTCCTCCAAACCTGTTACTATGAAAATACCCCTCTTTCTGTCTTCGATTTTTCCAGGTCTGCGAAACTGCAATTTGATTGTGAATCAGGCGGCGGATCAAGACCCTATAGCCGTGAACAACATCAGTATGCAGTCAGTCACAACAATAAATGGGTCAACACTCGAGCTCAAACCCTGCAGCCATCCTCTCTTGGTGACGGCTCATGAGACCGTGCAGAATATCCTTGGTACGAAAACATACCACAAAATAAATTTGAACATAAAGGATTGTGTCGAATTTTTTTGGAAATCCGACATGATCCTTTCTCGTTTTCTGTTTATCATACTATAGTTCTGGATTTGATTTAGAACATGTGGGCAAGAAAGCGGCGGTACAGCGATGTAATTTATTCCATATTATTGAAAGTACGTGGATAGTCGTGGAGCACCAGTGGCCACAAGGAAATGAAGGTCAATGGTTTATTTTGCCAACATGTATACGCCATGTTCAGGACGACACAGCCTTTGTTGTGACGCGCGATATTCTATCTAATTCATCTACTGATTTGGAGTTCTTCAAGGTCAATGACATTGCGAGTTTGTTATTGGTGCCGATTCGAAATCCAAAAGTACCTTCAATTACTATCGGCTTTCTATCATTTACTTCCAATGTTCCACGAGAGTGGACACCAGGAGATAAGGTACTCTTAGAATTGGCTCGAGATCTGGTTAGCACGACTTTGTGTCATCCAGACATCTTCATCAATCTGGATCACGAAATAGTCCATCTTTCTGCGACAGAAGTACATGCTCGTCTTTCTAATGAGCAGCATGCTACCGTGGATCAAATCGTTGTTTTATTTGAGAAAATTCGTCGTCAGTCCAAGATCAAAGATCTTTGGATGTCCTTTGGCATGAGCGCTTTCAAGAACAAACTTGCACGCTTCATCATATCGAATCAAACAATTGTCATGGCTCTGCCTGCTTTCCCGTTTAAGAGCAGGAACACCAACAGTAACGTCATCGGTACACTTCCCGATATGGGAGAGGTATTGGCGCTCGCGAATTTGAATTTATTTGCACTACAAGTGAGCGAAGTGTATCCACCAGGCTGCAAAATCCTTGTAGTTAGTGACGGTCGTGTTTTCAACGACTTGTATCCTGTTTCTGATGTTACTGTCTCTGTCTACACGCGTTACATACACTCACTAGGTCAAGGACAACTGCAATTTATTGGACTAGATCAAATGTTTTCATCATCGACCGAAAACCAATTCAAGAGGGATGCGATTGTTCAGTTGTACGGCGGTAATGTCGAGACCGTAAATAGAAAATTAAAAGAAGATGCACACTTTCATCAAGTTTATATAGCATTCAAGATACATCTTCGTAAAGATATCGGCGAACTGAGACGACCAGCGGCAGAGAAAGCGAAAATAATGATGATACGTAATGATAGTTACAGCGAGCTGGTCCGACTTTTGTTTCCACATCACGTGCGTCTGTCCATTCATGACCATAGTAGTGCAGAAAAGATTAGTGTGCATCTTGTTGGAGACAGCATTATCACACCTTGGCATGGGGTGGCGATGAAGCAGAAGGATGGAACCTGGACGATTACGAGAAAAAAAACAGCGCTGGAAATGGGTTGCGTCTTAGAAGATGCAATGAGTTCAACTAGTCGCGAAGACATTCTTTGTAATGACCTAAAATCGCTCAACATAACACAAAATCAGTTCTTTTCATCGTTGCCGTTTTATCGCGAGATTTGATCACTCTACCAAGTGAATAATAAAAATATAGTCATTTAAAGGCATTTCGATTTAGTAATAAACCATTTTGATCATTTTCTGGATGTGATGAGTTAAGCACTCAATTTATTATAGATTCAAAGTCGAATGCCATGTGTTTCGACTGCCATTTATCACGCTCAGCATCAATTATCTTCAGAATATGTCATTACGTAATACAGTACAATAAATTACATACTTTGAAATTGAGAACTCAAAACTGACGGAGTGTGAATAAACTGCCATGACTGGTTTCATCTCTGCTTAAGGGATTCATCAAATGATCTTTCTAAAAAGTTAAATCTGCAAAATTTCACTATTTTACATAAAGAATGGTTTGGATATGTTGTCACTTAGAATAACTAAAATTGCCTAATATGAAAATGATGAGATTGGATCATTCGAAAAGTCGAATTTCCTCTTCAAATAATGTTGATGATTAAGGCAAAGCAAAGAGAAAATAAACATGGTTAACATAGAAAAAAAGATTATTATATGCTGTGTATTATTCAAACTTTCGTGATCATCATCGTTGTCGAAGTTTATGCTGTGATTGATGACAGTGGTAAGTAAAATAATTACCAGGAGACAGATGAATGTTCTGAAACGTAAATTCTTACTCTATTGTTGTTCCAATCAGAGGTGTGCGATCCATGGGTTGGAGCCCGCGGGGCGGGTCCCGAATTTTTACAAAATTGCCGACTGACGGGTTACGGGTAGCGATTCACTGGCGGGCGAGCGGGGCGGGTGAAATAAAAATAAAAGCCACGGGCTTCGGGCGGGTCAATATTTTTCACGGGGCCCGATGAAGGGTAGTAAAAAATTATTGAGAGGTCGTTAGTCTAGGTGGGTAGTACGAAATACGTATTGATTGGCTCTTTATTTTCATTTAATGATCTACAAGCTTGCCTATTACGTATTTCTTTCTTTCATTTTCGTTCGGTAAAGACCCGGAGCCGACAAAGCAGTGAGAAAAAAGTTAAACAATAACAAGTGTTACGTGATTGTTCTGCAAGTTTTTGAACGGGTCTAGATATAACATTGATATCAGTAGATAGAGAAAAAGATACTGTATTGAACTATATTTTTGAATTTTCCTGAAAAACTGACAGGTGAAAAATAGAGGGCGCCATCACACAGTGGCAACATATGAATGTGTTTACAGCAACAAAATTTGATTTTCAAATACTAGTAGATCAATTCTCTCATATTTCTGTTTCACCACATTATTTTAGCTATAAATTTGCCTAACTACCACCTTTTTCAATCCCACAAGAGATCAGGTAACTTTAGAATATGTTCGCGCTATAATAACAATAATTTGTTTACATCAAAGTTGTAGGAAATAAGAAAAGAACAATTTATCTGATAAAAATATTTAATTGCACAAATAATATATATAAATACTACATAAAACAGGTTGTGGGTGCCATTAGAGACATGGAGGAAATGGACACCACCCCCACCCTACACTTTTCTCTCACATTTTTTGTTAAAAAATCTAATTAATTATATATAATAAATAATATAAAAGGACAGGGGCGTGTAAGATACCCTATCGGCCCATTTCGATTTTTTCAACTGAACATAGTCAAATTATATATGAAATGAAAGCTGCCGTTGAGACAAGCATTTTGATACTAAATTTGTCACGAAAAAAATGAATTTNCGTATGTAATTGAGAAAACAAAAGGACAGGGGCATATAAGATACCCTATCGGCCCATTTCGATTTTTTCAACTGAACATAGTCAAATTATATATGAAATGAAAGCTGCCGTTGAGACAAGCATTTTGATACTAAATTTGTCAAGAAAAAACTGAATTTCAAAAAAGTTATGAACACTAACAAAAGTTGACTATTTGGTTGTTTCTCTTGAAAAGAGTCTCCCATTTTCGACACAAATATATCACAGTAGAACTGTTCTCACATTGACCAGTCGATAGAGATTTTTAAGCTGTACAACGTAGGATGATTAGAAAAGCAAAAAAGCATTGGTCACTTCATGATCAAAGGGCAAATACTGTAGGGACCCTATCTTTTCTTTTAATTTTTTTCCGTACTGCGACGAAAAGTTTTGGCGAAAATCGAGATGAGCCATTTTTCTAATCTATGCCATTCGATAGACATTTTTACGCGCTACAAAATAGGATTACTACGAAAGCCAAAAAATATTGGCCACTTGAAGGTAGCTTCGGCATGCACTTTTTTGACTGCTGATTTTGCCGTTTTTTCCTACTCTTTATTGGATTATGGCCTAAAAGATCATTGTTGTTGTACAAAATTATGTTATATTCAGAATCAGCATCGAAAACTGAGTGGGTTTAACCGCATTTCAAATCTTTTTGAGTAATTAAATTTTCGTCGAAAAAATACCCTGTACTCCCCCTCAAGGTCGAGTGAAAATATTAATTTCATTAAAACATGATTTCGACCATAGTAATGAAGTTCTAAACATATAAAATGATATTAGAACTCTAAATAGCAGAACGTTAAAAGAAAACGAAGCGGTTCTGATCAAATTATTTTTCTTACTCAACCTTGAGGAGGAGTACAGGGAATTTTTTCGACAAAAATTTAATTACTCAAAAAGATTTCAAATGCACTTAAATCCACTCAGTTTTCGTTGCTGATTCCGAATACAGCATAATTTTGTACAACAACTATAGTCTTTTAGGCCATAATCCAATAAAGAGTTGGAGAAAACGACAATATCAGCAGTCAAAAATGCGCATGCCGAAGCTATCTTCAAGTGGCCAATGTTTTTTGGCTTTCGTAGTAATCCTATTTTGTAGCGCGTAAAAATGTCTATCGAATGGCATAGATTAGAAAAATGGCTCATCTCGATTTTCGCCAAAACTTTTCGTCGCAGTATGGAACAAAATTTAAAAAAAGATAGTTCCGTACGGTATTTGATCTTTGATCATGAAGTGACCAATGTTTTTTTACTTTTCTAATCAGCCTATTTTGTACAGCTTAAAAATCTCTATTGACTGTTTAATATGAGAACAGTTCTATTGTGATATGTTTGTGTCGAAAATGGGAGACTCTTTTCCAGAGAAACAGCCAAATAGTCAAATTTTCTTCGTGTTCATAACTTTTTTTTAATTCATTTTTTTCGTGACAAATTTAGTATCAAAATGCTTGTCTCAACAGCAGCTTTCATTTCATATATAATTTGACTATGTTCAGTTGAAAAAATCGAAATGGGCCGAAAGGGTATCTTATACGCCCCTGTCCTTTACTTTTCTCTTCTGTTAACAACCAACAAGCAGTTTGTTTGTGTAAAAATTGTGTATCATGATTTTATTTCACTTTAAAATAGGTATGTTCAATATGAGGCTCCACTTTATCGGCAACTNACAGCCAAATAGTCAAATTTTGTTCGTGTTCATAACTTTTTTTAAATTCATTTTTTCGTGACAAATTTAGTATCAAAATGCTTGTCTCAACGGCAGCTTTCATTTCATATATAATTTGACTATGTTCAGTTGAAAAAATCGAAATGGGCTGATAGGGTATCTTATACGCCCCTGTCCTTTCTTCGGGTGATACGGACGAGGCGATGTGGCACCTCTGGGTGCACGGGTACGGGCGAGGCGGGTGTGTGCTTGCACGGGGGCGAGTGGGGCGGGGAGTTTACGCAATTTAACTGCGCGGGGGTCGGCGGGACGGGTGTTGGAAATTTACGGAGCGAGCCCCGCGGGGCACGAAAATTCCCTGCCCCGCACACCTCTGGTTCCAATGTAGAATATTGAAAAATGATCGTTCACGTGTCAGTTTACGTTTCGAATTCGGACTATTTCGATGACCAACAATGAATCTCACAGTTTCTACGCCTTAACTTTGAAAAACTTCACGAAGAATTTGATGCATATCTTTTTTCGTGTGTATAGTGTATAATCACTGTATCTTGAATTTTAAACTATACAGTGTCGCAATTGATATCGTTTCAGATTTGTTTACTAAATCATGGTCATGGATTCTCTGATTATATCATAAATTCAATCGCAACTATACATTGTCAGTAATCTTTAAGCATCCATACTTTACTAGCAACTTACTTTTCAATATTTTCTCAACTACTTATCAATTAGTGCATCGATTGGTGTTGATTCAAGAGCATTCATTGAAAAATCCTTTTTCAAATTGTCCTAAGCAGCCTGTGCATTTCCTCAGCGACTTTCGTTCGAACTCAACTCATGCATCAGACAATAAAGCAAAACGATTTAGTGTAAGTTTGTTGCCACTCTCAACCTGATGTGCAGTTTTCGATGATCATTTCCTGAAAGGTTTGCTTTTTTTTATCTCAGGTGATAGTGTTGAACGCGTAGAGATGCAATTTCTATAGGATTTTAGAGCAACTTTCTAGTTATAATTGCATGGCTGAAACTATGTGACAGAACACAGTAAATGAAACAAGACATTTTCTTTGTAGTTTTGGACAAAACGCGCAATACAATCCAACGTTGCATTCTTTGTATATACTCGTAGTAGTGATAGTGATCAGAACGTTCATTATTCCAAAATTCGCGATACCATAACTGTTATTGTCGTTGTTATTATCAGCCACCTAAAAAAGAAACGAGATACACTGAGTGATTAGTATACAAAAATGATTCATTTGTCAATCAAACAAAAAATTAAACTAGAAATCAAATGCAAACACGACACTTTTAGAATTATCAACTAGTGATACACTTGAGAAAAAATACTTTCGTTCGAAGCACAAAAGCTACGAAAAAGAATCTTATTCAGAATTCCATAGATCTATCAGACTTGAATAAAAAAATCAAAATTGAAAAGTTTCGAAATTGTTTTACTTACTGATCGGACAACTTAATGCTGGCAATTCAATCATAAATTTCTGTATTCTGTTATTCCCTTGATCACTGACATATATATTTCCGCTTGGATCAAATCTTATATCTCGTGGACTGTTCAAATGAGTAGGACTTGATCCTGCCATCGTACTGCAACCGACAACACAAACACCACCAATCGTATAGTTTGTTGTCCACTTCATTATCCTGTTGTTTTCGGAATCCGCTATATAAATATACCTATAACGTAAATAATACAGTTGCAGCTAGTTACAACTAAAAAAAATTTCTTTGTTAGTTGCATTGCAGTCAAATAGACTTCCAAGTTGGTTCATTGTTCGACTCAAGCTGATATTTTACTAGATTTCAATTATATATCATATAGTAACATACCCATTATTGTCGACAATGACTGCATCAGGATAATTCAAGTGCATCAATGACAAGCCATAAGATCCAGTAATACCGGATACAGTAATTCCGCTCCTAGCTCCAGCATGCCACATCTGGACACGATGATTTCCATAGTCTGCGACGTACAATGTTCCGTTTTGGTCAATGAAACTTCCATACGGAGTTGAGAATTGATTTGCTGCTGAGCCGGCTCCATTGTTGCCTGCTACAACAACACCGATACTGCTATTCTGATAAAACATGACAACTCGATTGTAATCTGAATCTGTCACATAGATATCGTCATTAAAATCAGCATGCAAATCTCTTGTTATGCCCAAATGACTCGATCCACTATTGGCGGTTACTGTGGTAGCTACCTGTAAAATTTTGTTTCAAAAATTGTTATTGAAAACATTGCATTTACCATTGAACCGTAGGGCAATTTTTGTATTCGATAATTTGAAGTGTCGCCAACGATCAGAGCACCCGTCTGATCGACGGAAACACCCTTCGGTTGATTTAAATTGACTTGAACCACTCCCTGTGCTTGTACCAGCAACAAGAATATCACTAGCAGCATTCTCATAGTACATAACAATTCGATTGTTGTTTCCATCGGCGACGAACAAAGTGTAATTATTATCAACAAATATGTCTATTGGATAGTTGTGTGATGCCAAATTGGAACCAGCCGCCGTGTTCTGATTACCAGCCACCGTGATTCCTGTCTGATTCCATGTAGCACATGTGGGAATCGTCAGTCCATTAATACCAACTGAAACGCCTGAAGAAAAAAGAGTAATCAATGTTTATTAAAAACAAATAAAAAATAAAATAGTACAAGGCATAGTCGTCGTAGCCGTGGTTGTTGTTGTAGTCATAGTTGTTGTTGTTGTTGTCGTAGAAGTTGTAATTACTAGAAAAAGAAAGTTAGTCTATCATTTGTAATCTACAATATCTAGATCATATACGAGATCATTAGAAATTTTTCCTTCAGCAGTGCTGGTTTCGATCAACTACACTAGAGCAAATCGAGTGGCTATCTTATATAGTTTCTACACCATAGCTAAAATATGAAATACATCATTTTCTGTAACGAACTCAATATTTTAGCGACAGTCAAACAAAACAAATTCTCGTTAGTACGGATTCATGACTATAGCAGAGCAGTATAGTTCCTTTTCAAAGCAGACTTTCGTATTAATTTCTTTTGATCATAGCTGAACTTGATAGTTCCTCAATTATATAATGAGTGACTCGACGAGAAGATCATGAGAGTCATCCGTGAGGGAATAACTTTCTCTATGATTTCCCCTCTCCAACTTAAAAATTGCACGATGGAAAAATTTAACAAAATAATCTAAGCTGTGATTCATAAGAATGTAGCTTTAGGAGATGACAAACACGGAAAAAAATCGTTCGTGAATCGATCCTACTACTGTTACACTGAATGAGTACTAGCTAGATTCAAAATTTGAGCTTGCCAATGAAAGTAAATACTCATAGATGAGTTAATTCCATGACTAAAATTCGATTAAAATTTAATAGTGATAATAAATTTATACCAAACGTTTTTGAATTTTTGGTAAGATTCACAAAAGCTAAACAACTTTAAACTTGTTTTCAAGGTTTTTATAGGTCCGACAGTGGAAAAATTATAGTTAATTTCGTTTGGAAATGAACTTTTGGTAAAGCGAACTTCTTTGGCCAATAGAATATAGTACATTCTTCTTGTTTTATAGAGAAATTTTTCAACAAGAAACAATGAAAAATAAAGTGGTCCAGTTTTTACAAAGCATTCGCTGTTTTCCCCATTACATTCAATATGGCTTCTATTATTCAATATTGCAGTTCTTTTGCTGTTGAGATAAAAAAGAGAATTATTTTTAAATATTGCACAAACAGTATTTTGATCGCTTGTTGTCGAACTGCATTCAAATAATCGCCAGAAGAAAGAAAAAATGAATTCTTACCTATTTTTTGCGACGTGATCAATGCAAGGAGCATAGCTGCGATTGCTATAGCCACGAGAATAGTAGTAAATATAGCTATAGCGATACACAAGGGTGAACAACAAAGAAAACAACAATAGCCACCACAGTATCTACCATAAAAATACACTGATGGAAAACATGTGAAAAGGTTAAATTGTATACCTCTCGTTTTTCTTTCTTTTCAAATATCGATGGTGTTCTCTTGCAAATGTGGCTCGATCCTATAGGATGCATGCGATCTTTTTTCTTCGAACAATTATATAATACAAAGGAAAACGAAGAAGTCTTACCCTCATATCAAAATGACGATCAGTTTGAGCCGAATTATCATTCGTAATACTCTATGAAAAATGCTTGATGAAGTATGAAATAATTTGAAAGTGATTTTCAACAAACTTGATTTGAAATTATTTGATAATCAGTCATTTTAACAGTTGTGTTTGATCGATCTTTATTTGTTATGAATATTCCTAGATTGTGTTCTAGATTGCTGCTCATTGTTTCTTTTGTTCTTATTAAATTATGATTTTGATTTTGTTGATTTTTGTTTAAATGATCACTTTCATGTATAACTCCGTACGACTATTTACGAACAAAATATATGGATAATAATTCAAAACAAACAAAATATTGCTTCATACGCATCGAGACGTTCAAGTTACGACTACGTACGTTTTCAAAATTCAAATGTGAATATAAATTGAATTTATTATTAGTTTATTGAGAAAGATTTGCAATATTGTTCCATACAAACTATCTAGCAATTTATCTACTGTTAAATAACTGTTTGGTTTCTATTCTTTTTTTGTCATTTCTGACATAGAGAGATGACATCAATATAGTAGCTCTACAATAATACGTTGAATCTTCGACTAAGTTTTGCTTATTTGGTTACTTTTTTTATTTCTATCCGAAATAGGCGAACAGCTAAAATAATCTGGATCTGTCCGGAAAAATCCATATAAAATTATATATTATTTCGGAAATTTTACCGAATACAAACAATCTTCATGATCTGGAGTTCCAATGCCTGCAGAAATGACGGATGCTAATTGATGACTGAGGGACAATTTCGACTTTTGCCTATTTGTTTCGATGAATACCAACTTTATATCAACGATCTGTGAGAACAAAAGAGCAGTGGAAAAAAGTGAAGAACTCACTCGTTCATTGGCCGAGTAATGATGTTGCCGACAAGATACTTTTATAACATGTGGTATAGATGACAACTGGTAACTTGAAACATTCTGTGTTCCTACAAGTCCACTAGGTGGGTTTGAGTGCCGATTAGTTCTAGTAATATGTACGTGTGCTTGGTTTACAATCATTTCAAGCAGCTCTCGAACTAGTAATTTATATCAAGACAATCTTTCTAATCAATTTTTTAGAAAATGGGTTTGTCTTCAAATGGTTTCGATGATGAATTGTATAAAACTACTACATAGTGGACAAAAAGTTGATTGTGTTTACATTCATATGTGAGAAGACACATTAAGATGAATTTTGTAAAAGAAATTCATGTCTCGGTGAATATTTATTAGTTTTATTGATTGGCTTCTTGAGACAAGAAAATTGAATTACACACATATAAAATCGTTTACATTCAACATAAGCATTATGTGCACTAAATTATTATGATCAATAGCATATAGTCAGGGTTTTTTTACAACTGATAACCGTCGTCAATGGGGAGAGCTGTGAAAATAGGAATACAAGTTGTATTTGTATTTGCTCATCTCTGATTTTACTGGTTTAGCTGGCACAGTATATAACATCGGCCGATCTGGGAGTGCACTGAAAGGAAAATCACGTCCACTCTTACTGTTTTTTCTATCTATGTGTTTATGATAAGAAAGCAATGACGGCCACTGCAGAAAAGTGGAAAAAAATGAACAATACACAATAATATGCAAAGACCATGAACATACTTCTGTGATTAAAAGATTAAAATGATTTTGTTACTTTCATAATTTATATATGAAATCTTGAAAAATGAAAGAGAAACAAAAAAAATAATGGATTTCAGTGTTTTTAACTTCAACGCATGTGATTTTGAATCAAAATATATTGAATTATGTTGATAGAAATGATCGTTTCAGTACATTTGTTAATATGGGTGTGAGTGTGGCTATTGGTCTGGCGGGGACTGTGACCGTAGAAGAAAATAGCACACACCCACACTCTCAAGGTAGCTTTTTAATCAGAACTTTTCAATGATGTACTGTCTGAGTTCATTTTATCATTTCGTCTGATGTTCGTTGTTTTATTTCTTGAATTTTGTTCTTGCAAAATCATGTATGTCAAACTTGAAACTTCAATTCAATTGAAAATTGAAATTTTCAACTTTTAACTTTTAAACCAACAGCATTCTGAAGAATCGTGACTCACACATATATCGCTATCAGTCGAAAGTTGAAAATTTCAATTTCAATTTTCAATTGGATTCAAGTTTCAAGTTTGCCGCTACTGTGTAAAATGTATTTAGATGTTCATTTACGTTGCGATCTACTCATTTTTTCATCCGAATTCTTTACAAGTTAGTAATATCTTTTTAATCATTATTTCTTAGGAAGTTTATTCTTGTTACTTGTGCCTTTTATTGCTCGGTGTCCGAATCACTGGCCAATGATCGATCACCAAAATAAATATATCGCAATATTCTTCGACGGCAGGCTGTATTTACGAAATGTGCTCCACAACTCTAACTATTCGTATACGTCAACACTTGTAACTACTGCACTATTCAGTCAAACTTCAGTTCACATTTTCTTGTAGATTTTTCAATGAGCTTTCCAATGAACTACCCAGGTCGAACAGTACGGTCCGTATACGGTCATTGACGGTCACTTTATGACTATTTTACGGGCGAAATTTTGCCGTAATATCTGGCGCAGTAATACGGACCGTATTATCATGAGAGTACGGAGCAGAAACAGCCGTAAACAATGAAAATTCAGTCCCGTTTACGGTGCCGTATCACTGCGCCAGGTATTACGGGCAAATGCGGCCTATTTACTGCCGTAAAGATGCCGTTTTGACATTGTTTACCGTCGACAAGCAGACCGTAAACGAGTCCGTTTTGATCAACCTGGGTATGATTGATCATCATTATCTCAAAAATAATCTAGTACGTAGACCATAAACTGTCGAATGATGCGCTGTTTTCATGTATGAGAAAGAAGCATAGTATGTCCTTGAAAATGAGTATAGTAGTTACGTAGTCAATAGAAGTAAGTGAAAAAGATAACAACATAATAAAAATATTCTCTTTTACCTACAAGAAAGTTTGATGCACATAAAAAACAATAAAAGAAGCAACGCTACTGTGATGCACGTGCATTGATGTTGTAATTCTTACTCTACGATAATACTATAACATGATCCGTACACAAGTCGTTCCTATTGTTTGGGTTGTTTACTCCATTGCCTGTTTCTATCTCGTTCGACCACTTCGCAAATTTTCATATCGAGCTCTTCTAACAATTCTACCATGTATGATTCTAATACTCGCCGGTTGTCACAATCTGCCCTATCTTCACATGAAATCTGTGATGATCATCTCATTCTATTGGATATTAACAATTCGTCTTATCCATTTGATTGTACTGTCACCTGAAAAGTCTCCTTCTCTTCGATCCTTTGCTTGGGAATTGTTAGGTTCTTTTATTCCTATCATAAAGTGCGAGTCAAAACACTATGTCATCTTTGATCTCGTTTCAGGAAGTGTCAAACTTCTATTGAATCATTGGATCTACCGATGGTTTCTATCTTGTGAACCGAGCGATAGTTATGCTAGAATGGCCATGTTCTATGTCTGGACTTGTACAGGCACATATGTAATCGATGCACAAATCATTCTTGTTCGACTTGTCACGCGAGATGGATACACTCTATTGCCATTCAGCAACTATGCATTTCTCTCAAAATCCATTCGAGAATTTTGGGGTCGCCGATACAATTACTTCGTCCATAAGCTTCTTAAGGACTCGGTCTTCGAGCCTATTTACCGAACGTTATCTGTGTCATCGACAGTAGCCGCTCTGGCGACTTTTTTGTGAGCGGTCTGCTTCATGCACATGTGGCTGTTGGTGCCTTGGGTGCGACATCTCCGTTATCGTCATTGATGTTTTTTCTTCTGCAAGGCATCGGCTGCTTCTTGGAGACGCTCTTATCCATTACTTTGCCACGGCCTATTGGTATATTAGTGACACATATATTCCTTTTGATAACAGCGCCGCTCTATGTAGGTCTGTATACAAATGCTGGCCCGAATTTCTTCGTACACAATGTGCCCCTATTATCTAATTCCAAATGGATTCCTGAATTACCAGTGCCTCAGTTCTGTCCAAAATAATAACAACAAATGTGCAAATTATCAAACTGCTGATGGCGTTTTTCTTTCTATTGAATATTTGTTTTCTTCACTGGTACGATGGTGAGAACACGCAAATTATAGTTATTGAATGTTTCTCGATTTCTTCTCTCTAACGAGACTCATGGATGGAAAAACCTTCGAAATGCAAGTGTAGTCGTAATATATTGACTTCTCTTAGTTAAAGAGTGAGGCGCATTAGAAGACCTCTGGTTTACTATTCTATGCCTAAATGAAGTTACAGCTTTCGACCTAGTCAATTTTCATTTTTATTGTCAACTACTTTTCGTTTTATAGGGTGAGTGTGGGTATGGACAGATTTTGTTACAGACAGCGTAATCACTCGAAACTGCACATCTACGCCCACTCTTTGAATTTAATTTTGAAATGAGTGCCATCGGTAGATTCATTTTGCTGAGATGAAATGTCAACATCACGGTAAATCCAACACACTCACACTCACAACCACACCCCTTGTGGAAAGTCTTGCTAGATTTCAATTTTTGTTTTTATTTTTCATAATAAATAGTCACAAATTAGAGTTTATTGGGAAAAAATGAATTATTTAATCAAACAGTCCATTTTTTTCCATTTCATAAGTTCTTCTCTGCTTCTTCAATTGTTGTTGGATTCTAGATTGAATTTTTGTACACGATGGTTTCCCTGCTCAACGACATAGAAATTACCGTGTCGATCGAATAATAAACCGCTGGATCGATTCAGTTGGTTTGATTGTACTCCTCCACCGTTTCCACCAACAATGACACTTCCTTGTGTGGCTCCTTTGAGCCAACGCATGATTCGAGCATTCCCTTGGTCAGCCACATAGACAGTGCCCAATTGATCGACAACGACTCCATAAGGATATGACAATTGTGTAAAACTACTCCAGCGTCCTTGACCACCAGCCACGACAATGCCCTGTTTTGCACCATCCATCCATTTCATCACACGATGATTTTCATTGTCCGACACGTATACTGAATGATCTGGATCGACGAATACGTAATGCGGGTAAGTGAGTTGATTGAGGCGGTTTCCATTTCCATCGCCACCTGCAACCACTGTTCCCTGAGATTTTCCCATTCGATATCGTCTTACTTCATGTTGTCCATAGTTAACGACATAGAGAGATCCATTCTCGTCTATTGTCAAACCCGCACAGTGGTTGTTGGAGACGATCGTTTCTCCGCTTCTCCCATTTTGGCGAGGCCATCGAACCACTCTTAAATTTGCATGATCGCAAATAATGAGACTATTTCTCTCTTTGTCGACAATCACATCTAATGGATGAGACAATTGATTAGCCCCATTTCCTGGTCCATTTCCACCGGCAATCACTTGGCCACTCGTCGCACCCGATTTCCACTCCACAATACGGTGATTAAAATACTCAGCGACATAGGCAGTTTGACAATCGTCAACATACGAACTGTATGGGACTGAGAGTTGATTTATTGCACTTCCTTGTCCATTTCCTCCAGCGACAATGACACCATTTTGTTGCCATCGAGCATTCGAGAAAATATCAATTACGCTCGCACGCATTGGGATGCCTGAAATCAATTACGAATAGAAAGACGGGATTAGCTTCAACTGAGCTGAGTATTGGAGAAATGAAAAACACTTCTCAGTTTCGACAAAAAAATGATAACAAAATGGTGACATGTATTTGTGTGATTACACCCAGACAATTTCATATATATAGAAAGCTGACTTCAAGCCTTCAAAACTTACGAAAACGAATTAACTTCTAGAGTCGGTGTAAGCGGATTGCGAAACTTTCAGAATCTCAAAACCGTGAGAAGATTGTGACGATCAACTCGCTATCTTAGGTATGGGGAAGACTAAATAGGGCGTAACAACAAAGTGTAGCATCGAATACTACCAGAGTTTATTATTCGATCCTCAGAAAATCGAAACCAGTCATTGCCAATCCTGACTATCAGAAAGTCAACTTTTTCCCCCTTGGTGTTAAATGTTAGTTGGCATCTTTAAATTTTTAAATTTATATTAATGAAAATGGTTCCCCAAGATTCATCACTATAACATATTCTCAAACTAGTTTATGCAATATTTTTGAAAACTTACCTGATAATTAAAATTCGTTTAAGCATACTAATAGGACAGGGAGATAAACGTGCATCGATTTGGCGAACAGCTTCTGCTTGGACTAAATCGATGTTTCTCTGTCGATATCGAATAATTGTACGTAAGTTTTGTTTCACAGCTTCATCAGTGACTAAATCATACCAAGGAACCATTTCAAGAATCTGTAGGAGAGCAGGCCCGGTGGAGAGCGTTCTTTTCCATTCATTATCGTTGTCGAGTGCCACATCACCTCCAAGACGACGTTTCGAAATCATGCGTGCAAAACTAGCATAGCACCCACAAGTAAAATTACCTGGATCTCGATCAGAGAATGGTATACATTGGCCAAAGATACGATCATTGCCAGCTTCGAAACATCGTTTTAGTATAGCTCGTTGTTCTACCATACCACCCACAAGCGACTTAGTAATAATATGGGTTTCCCAAGCATCAAGAAAATCTTCATAAAGATCATGATCAAAGTTTGGTGTTAATTTCGAAACGGCATCGCGTGCGAACGAATTAAGCTCAATAGTCGAAATATTTAATGTCAGTGTATAAAGTCCAATTACACGTTGAGAAAGTGCTAGAGCATCATCACGTTTAAAATAACTACATAGAAACACAAGATTATGAGTAGCATACTATGTAGTAACGTCGCAATAAGAGTTTGCCTTTATGCACAAGTATGCAGTTCATTTTTTTCAAATGAATGAAAAGAAAACATTTGAGATCTGATATCTGAATCTGTGTGCATCTCTCGCATGTTCAAAATAATCTGAGAAATAAGTTCGGATTTACTTAGCTCATCAGTAAAGTTGTTTGCTACTCAATTTCATTTTATTTCATGATTTTGTTTTGTAAGAATTAGTGGTTTGCTTTTCATTCTTTATATTTCGTCAGCATTGCATACTCTTGTTCTAATAAAAGCTTGACTAATATATTGGAGCAAAACGCTTACCTATTAGAATACCCTAAAAGGTCAGGTGGGCGAGCTAATTCTCCACCACGAACCATTCCCTCAGCGAATGAACGTTGCCACGCTTTATTTAATTGTGAAGCATTGCGAAAATTTTGGACACGTGATCTGTCATAAGCAGTTCCTACAGTATGAGCTGAGCCAACTTTGCTTCGTTAAATACGTCGAACATTACACCTGTAAAAGGATCAGTCCAAAAAGTATGACAGCCTTCAAATGGATACGCTAGTTTAATAGCTGGAGCTATGAGTCGACCAGATCTTCGATCAACACTCATCCCGACACCACGTGGTAATTTCAAATAGTTTGAAGCAAACGTTCTGCCAGATGACTTTACAGGACTACCATCAAAGCATCTCATTCCTTCAGTGCCAACAAATGGACATAAAGCTGTTCGAGCTTCTTCAGTGAATTGAAAGCGTGATGCTTCAGATTTGGATAAATATACGTAGTGCTTACAATATGATAGACCAACAACTAACATAAAGATCAGCTGCATCATTTGTCAATAATTCAAAAATTAATACTTGAAAATCAGTGTTGTATGAATCTTTCAAAAACATTATGGAAAAAGTTAGTTTATTATTTGTTACACTAAGAGAAAATCTTACTCGTGTAACCTGTCGAAAGATAGGTCTATATCAATTAAAGTCCTTAGCAGAGTTGAAGACAAACCTAGATCTGTGTGACACACCAGTTCGTCCTTGATATTTCTTTACGAACAGAACCTAATTCACTATGGCTCCACGCCATCGGATACTGAGAATTCGTATCAAAAGCGGAACATACGTAACCTATGTTTTCATTTTATTAAACAGGCACTTTTGTAGATAAAGGTTGATCCAAAAATACTGATGGAAAAAAGCGTGTCTCAGATAAATGTTTACACCACAAGCAGCACACTGAGGAAAGGATTCAGTAGTAACTAAGATAAGGAGTAAAATGAAATACAAGTGCTTTATTGAGAAAATTTCCGGAGTTTTTCACATCTCAACTCTACTAAAGTCGAATGAAATGTGAAATACTTTGATTACTTGATAATGGAAAAGCCTACCATAGTAACTGGGTTAGGGCCACAGTTCAGTCATAACAGTCTTAGGGCATAAAAATGTAAACTGCAATGACATCTATGCTATGTTTCGTACGAATGTTGGTATCAAGTTTCAGATAAAGATTTTTTTCTGAGCTACAATGCAAAATAGAATTTGAAAGTCATATTTGTTACCATAAATGCCAAATAAATAAATAAACCATTTAGCGATTACATTAAAAGCATTTCCGTTAAATAATCAACTAAAAAACCTAATCGAATCATTCCATAACAGCGATCAATAATATTTTATTCGATTCAGCGAAGACTGCATGGCGGTGAATAAATTGTAGTAGAAGTACTTGAAGCACATTGAATTGTTAAATCCAAGTAATTATCATTGCCGTTCGTGGATCTTAACTCGAAAGCTCGATTATGTAGAATAAGATAAACGATTTCAACCGAACCGACGATCAAATAATGCTAATATAGTCTAACTGAATAACTGAAGATATATAGAGCTCGTCACTGTAGATAAAAAAAAGCTGACTACCACTAAGTGATCACAGCTTTGCTTGCTGACCCTTCGAAATTCTGTCGATAGACGAGATTCAAGTGATATCCACCAATGTATAAGCAAAAATGAAATCGTGCAAATCCGATCTTATTTTTAACTATTAGTCTTTTCGAAACAGCCTTCATTCTCTTTAGATTATACTGAAGTTCTTTATAAATATAGACATATAGACACCATGAGCAAACTGGGTAGAAAAAATTGTATGAGATTTACTCTAGTTGACCAAATTCACAGAATAGAAACTTGAATAATTATGTAGATTCGTCACTCTTGGATGAGGACAATACATTAGTTAGAAATTTTTGAAATCGTAGTATCTTGACAATATCATTGACATCGCTATATCTTTTACTCCATAATGTTGCAATTAAAAATTTGTTTCGTTCTTATCGATGTCATTTGATACAAAGCATTGCTTCACATCTATGGCTTACTTGTGTGTCCGTCCTATCTAATCATTCGTCTCTTTTTTTTACTTTTTGACACGTGCTCCCACATTACTAACCGAAACTCTATCGCGTCTCTTGATTGCAGTCTCAATAACAACTGAACGTCAGAAAATCGGTCTCGTGAGAGTAGCGTTATGATGAACGGTATTCATATTCATTGTGAACTAGATTACTGTAGAAAAACAGCACGTGCTGATTTGACCAATCTCTCATTTTTATAGACCGATCCTATAATTAAGTGGAATGTTTCATAAAAATGAATATATCCATCGGTGAGCTATGATGACTTAATACTGTGAACCTAGACATGTCTAAATATCAAGGGAGAAGGTGCTGGCTCCTAGCACCAAATTTTACTATGACGTGCCAAAGGTGATGGGCAGGTACTGAACAGGTGCAAGAGATGCTGAAGTATGCTAAAGATGTTAGTAGTTGTAGAAAAGGAACAGTAAACTAAAGGAAAAGTATACAGCAGGATGATATAATTCTCTGTTGGACTCATTGTTTCCCCTCAGTCTTGGTGAATACACTAATTGCACGATCAAAAAAGAGGTGTGCCAAATTAGGAACCTGACTTCACAGAAAATCTGCACCTAATTTTATTAGCTTGAGAATTATCATTGAATTCTCATTATTTTCCACGAGTTTATTGTGTATTTTATGAAAACTCAATTTTTAACATCTGGAGTAGGGGTGGGCCATTAACATTAATTTTATATTAATGTTAATGTTTCTCATTAACCATTAATCTTAATGGTTAATGTTTTCTAAGAAAAACTTAATTCATTAATATTAATGATTAATGAAAAACATTAACACTAATTTTAAAATTANAACATCTGGAGTAGGGGTGGGCCATTAACATTAATTTTATATTAATGTTAATGTTTCTCATTAACCATTAAGATTAATGGCTAATGAAAGTCATTAATTAATGTCATTAATTAAGTTCCGTTAAAAAAATGGTCCACCCCTAATCTGGATTGTGTTCAGTTTTTAGTGCAAGTAGTTATATTTCAATACAGTGAAGTTCCCTGATCACAAATATCATTTTAGATTTTAAAATTCATTGGATACTAAGAAAGGTCTGAAGCAATCTCGGGACTTAAAAACAGCTATTGGCCTAAAGCTCCCTGAATATTCGATTTATACTGTTTGAAAATAGCCCCCTTCGATACAGAATATTTTTGTCTGTCAGAGTATATAAGAACGACTTGGATATTCAAAATTTGTTTTATCGATAAATGCTAAATACCGCCCTGATTGCGTCATGCCATTCGAAATAATGCTATTCTCAATTCTATGAAGTGTAGCTTTTCGACGTTTACCAGAAAGATTTTCTTACCGAATACGTAATTGAACGTGCTCTTTCTAATAAAACTGTTTTCAAATTAAAACTCGTTGTAATGTGAAGCGTTTTCGCTCCAATACTACTCTTGAAATCGGATTTCTGTCATTTGTGACCGATATTCGATAGTTTCAAACAGATTAATTCCCCCTTGACTGAATTTAAATATTATACTTTTTTAAGCACAAAATTTAATTCGATTTAATTATTTCTGCAACCTTTGTTTTCGGTCAGATTTTCACCCCGGTCCCCGTCATGGATGACCAAAAAAAAAATAACTTACTCCAAAAGCCATGTGGACAATGTTAAAAGTTTCCAAAGTTTGGGAATGATGTTTGAGATAAAATAGATCAATTAATAATCAATCAAATAGTTGCTTTGAATAAAATATTTTGTTTTCATATAATCCTGAAGGGGACCAGACGTAAAAATCTGA